TTGAAGCCAATTTAAAAAGAATTGAAGAAAGCACAGCTGCCTTGGCTGCTGCTGATGATTGGGTACTAAGATATGCTCCGACAACAACATCCCAATCTGGCCGAACTTCTAGCACTGCTCTTAGTAATACTGCATTCCAACATAAATTGACTAGTAGTGCTCACCGCTTCAATTTTATGGTCCAGGTAAACATTCCCACCTAATCATTCTTTAATGATATTAATGTGGTGTGCTGATGCGTGGGGTATTTGTGTTTATATTCTTTTCTGGCGATTGTTCTGACATTATTTATTATTGATTCATTGTTCTTTTTGGAAAGTAATATATACTTGACAGGGGAGATGTGATGATAGTGGAGTGGAGGACCCTTTGTAACTAAGTGGATGGGAAGTGGGCGAGTCTAGAGAATGTATGAGAAGTGTATGTATTTTATGTGGCTAGTCTGAGGTAGGGAGAAATAAGGAACCCTGTGATTTTCCTTTTCCTTTAGGTCCATACTCTTTTCAAAATTGAACTAAGTGGTTTCTGTCAATATGTTTTATGTGTGCGCGTGCGTTTTTCTTTGGGGGTGGGGGGTGGGGGGAGGGGGTTGTTGAAGGAAGTTGGATTATATGTGTTTGCTGTTGCACTTTGGGATGGCATATTATCTTTCATTATTTCATTTATCTTACTGGTACGATATTCCTCTTTTTTTTCTTTTCTGGGTGTTCAAATGTTCCCCTTGCAGGATTTTTTTGAGGACGTGGGACCTTTACTTAGTATGCAACTAGGCAATCAAACTCTGGAGGGTTTATTCCAAGTGTTTGACTCTTATATCAATATGTTAATCAAAGCATTGCCTGGTATGGAAGAAGAAGCAAATTTTGATGGTGCGGGAAGTAAGATAGTGCGCTTAGCTGAAACAGAAGTTCAGCAAGTTGCTCTCTTGGCAAATGCATCATTGTTAGCATATGAACTATTGCCTCGTGCTGCCATGAAACTGTCCCTGCCAACTCAGACTGCTTATAAGGACGATCCTCGCCAGAGACTTTCAGACAAGCAAAACCGTCATCCAGAACAAAGGGAGTGGAAAAGGCGGCTAGTTGGCTCTGTGGATAGATTGAAAGATACTTTTTGTCGACAGCATGCCCTTGATCTGATTTTTACAGAGGATGGAGACAGCCATCTCACTGCTGAGATGTACCTGAACATGGGTGGAAATATGGATGAAGTTGAATGGTTCCCATCTCTTATATTCCAGGTACTTCATGTGATCCTTATTTTGTGATCGGATTCTAGTATACTATGTTGGTTAATTTAGTTCAATTTTACTTGCATACTATGTATCATTATATCTGATCTTGTTGTGACACTTATGCTTATATGTGCATGAGAAAGTTAGACTAACCTTTGTCTATGAAAAAGAAATTTGTTTCTCCTACCAAATTAATACTGAAACACTTATTACTCTGCAACCATTACTTGATTTTCCATTGGAAGTCTAACCTTGTATTTTTCTTTTATTTTTTATTATCACAATTCAGGAACTGTTTGTAAAACTGAGCAGAATGGCTAGTATGGCAGCAGATATGTTTGTTGGCAGGGAAAGATTTGCTACATTACTATTGATGAGGCTCACAGAAACTGTCATCTTGTGGCTTTCGGGGGACCAAAGTTTTTGGGACGATATTGAGGAAGGCCCAAGGCCTCTAGGACCTCTGGGTCTTCAACAGGTGGGCATTATGGTTCTGCTTACTCCTGATAACTCTTTATGTTCGGCAATCACATTATATAATGATTTGATGAAACTTCATCGCCTGCAGCTGACAGCATCAGTCTTCAATTTGTAATCTAGAATGCCATTTTTGTTTTTATATCAAGAAAAAAGTGGAATATGGGGAGCTTACGCTAAACCATTTTTGTTCTTTCTAAATATGCTGTTGTTATGTTTTGAAAAATAGGAGCAAATAGGATATTGTTTTCTCTTGAGCTATATATTTACACCTTAACACAGAGCACAATGTCTCCATTGTACTTCTGCTTCACCGTACTTCGAAGGAAGTCTCGAGAAAAAAGGTCCCAGTTGTTATCAGACATAGTATAGGCTTTTGGGGTGGGAGTTCAGCCTAGGTTAAACCATCTGGGTGTAATGCTTAATAAGAGAGGATTCTTATTTTCTTGGAACTAGTGCAAGTTGGGTTACAATGTCTCCTTGTAAAGTATTGTAGGTTGGGCTCCATATCAAGAATTTCAAAAAAAGAAACTACTGAGAAGATGTTGACCAATTATATATGCTCATGAATGATTGTTTGGTTCTTTTAATTAAAATATAAATAAATAATATTATTGTGTAAATGAAGTCTCTGGGCTTGGTAAGCTAACTACTACTGAGAATGTGATTGAAAATCTCATCAGTCACTAATAGGCACCTGTTTCCATGTAAATAACTGCAATCAATGGTTTCTAATTTGTGCAGTTGTACTTGGATATGAAGTTCGTCATGTGTTTTGCTTCCCAAGGTCGATACTTATCTCGGAATCTACACAGAGTTGTCAATGAGATCATTTCAAAAGCAATGGCTGCGTTTGCTGCAACAGGAATGGATCCAGATAGGTACGCCGTACCCATTATGCTGAATTCTAATGCTTCTATAACTTTTTCTTGCATGCTAAAGTTTGCATTACTAGCATAATTTTTGTTTGTATGGTTATCTTTCTCATTGTTAACTTAAGTTTGTTGAACACAGATACTAGCACGGTTATGTATAGTAATATCATATGATGCTTGATTTTAAATGCTTAAGACTAGGGCCGTCTGCTGGATAGAAAATTATGACTGAGCATGAAACTAGCTACACTATTAAGTTGATGAACCAGGAAGATAAAAGACATAACATTACGTCGTTCCCACCTCACATTACATGCATATTTAAAGTGTATGTGTGTTTGTAACACACCTGAAAATTTGAATTTTGTTTCGATCAGTTTATATTTTGAATATTACTGTCTTTTCACGTATAACAAAAGAAGGCCCCCTGAGAGAAACTAGAACCATGCAGTATGAAATTGGTTTTTGGTTTGGGACCATTTTCCTTCAATCTTTTTATTTGTTTTTGTGAATTAAGTCGATGCTTCCTATTATTTTCATATCACTTCTTCATGTTGAGAGCGTCTCTATGATTTTCGGCATGTGTGAGACACGTTTGGCTCCTTCGATTCTCTTAGATTGTAATGAACTTTGCTTGTTCCGTGATGTATTTACAATTTTGGAGACTTTGTTTAGTTTTTCTGAGATTCTATCTGTTTCCTGTCAGTGTACTACCGGAAGATGAATGGTTCAATGATGTTTGTCAAGATGCAATGGAAAGATTAAGTGGAAGGCCGAAGGCCATAAATGGGGACAGGGATCCTAATAGCCCAACAGCCTCAGTTTCAGCCCAGTCGATATCTTCTGTTAGATCTCATGGGAGTTCTTGAGTCACAATTTCTTCCTTGTAAATTAAACACATCCAAGTTCGTTGAGTGGATCTGGATTTGTGGGCGTTGCATTCCTGGTTGGTACTTGAGCTTCCAGCTCCACCACCCTCTAGATCTGTCAATTACATCCATATTCTTTGAGTTTTGCTCTCTTTCATGTTTCAGTTTTAGAGGCTTCCCTACATTTGTATTAGATATGTTGGTAAAGTTTATGATAAGCATGTAGTTTGTAAATGATGATCGAACGAACTATTATGATTCCCACATTTTTCCATTCTTTAACAGAAGAAGGATTCTTGCCTGTGATTTTGTTCATTTGTGTCCAAACATTGCAATTTCTGTTCCCAAATCCTCATGGAATGGAACTATCATTTGAAAATTGACTTGGGTCAAACAAGAAGAGAAGATGATCCTAAACAGGTTTAGTTCACTTAGGTCAACAAGATAGAAGTTTGAAGAACGACAACTCCATGAAAGCACTAGAATGGTGATCCTAAACAAGCATAAGTTAACCTAGATCTTGATTAAACTGTTCCTTTCTTCATATCCCACCAATACCAAGCATAGCAAGTCAGCAAAGAGAGCAGTGGCATCAATTTCCTCCAGCTTTGTAGTCAAGCCGGGTACATCCAGCAAACTCGACGATGAAGAGAAGATGGATCGAACTGGTTCGTCCTGTCGCCTCTATAAATCTGTGTTATCTTTGCTTCTATTCAAGAAATTATAGGAAGAAAAAAATATATACCCTTCACCCTTAATTTGATGATAACTTCACCTCCATGAGGGGTCATGCACAATTGAAGCCTTGCTGGGAAAAGAAACTTTAGATAGCACCTGAAACTGAACCTCAAATGGATAGCAGCCCGGTCAATTCATGCTTGAATCCTGTATGTAAATGACACTGTATATTTTTTTATGCTTAAGAAACGAAGGTTTTAGCAGTAGCTTGAATGCTGTGAATACTTCACTATGAATTAATGGCTTGACCAAGTAAGTATGATGTGGTCATGAGATGATTATGGGAATGTTAATGGCAAAATCAAGTAAACAATGGCGTGATGATGAGTAATTTGGAACTTCTACTGAGATGAATACATTCCTACTAGAGCTGCACCATGATATGGAACTTCTACTGACTTGAAATTGGGGAGGTGAGATGAAGTAAGTGACTGAACCTTACATGTGGATGCTCTCAATAAACCAGGCAATCCATTTAGAGAAATCGCTACATAATCATCATGTACAAACAATAAAGATAGGACTAATGCACAGCACACATCCTACAAATGATAATAATATCTGAGCCCCTATTAAGTAATCCAGCCATGAAATCTTCTCAGTTACCGGTAAATAAATGCATGTCACAAATAAGGGCTACAGTAGCATGCTTCCAAATGGAATGTTTATGACACCAATATGAGCATTCAAAATGCTGATGACTTGATATGAAATGGATCATGGATGCATGCAACTGCTGCAAGATGCATCCTATCATCTAGTGCTTGTATTTGTCGGAGCAAAAAGAACAGAGTACATCCCCTTCACGCTATTGGTATGCCATAGCTTGTGGAGTTCCGTTGGCGCCAGCAGCAGAAACAGGGTAGGTAGCATCCTTCCGTTTCCCAAATGGGTTCTTAGAAAATGTATTCATGAGTCAAGAGAAGAAACGTCTATCCTCAATCATAAAACAAACATCTAGTTCAAATTCCTAGGCAATTAATCAAGTTGAAGAAATCACATAATGCATTTCAATGTCTGAAGTAAAAACTAATAGTTAATATGAATGGTTGATTGGTAATGATGCACAGCAGCACATTCAGCAAACAATACATGTATCCAAACTCAAGAAAATATAAACACTATTCCTTAACATCACCTGGCTCGTGTACTAGGCTCCACTAACATTATCATTTCCACTGTGCTATTAGAAAATAAAACAGAGATCAAACGTAAAACAAGCCTATCCACTATCCATGATAAGCACCCATTTTGTTCAAGGCATCACCTATGAGTAAGATAAGTCAAACCATTAAATTTGATAAATCGCTCACTCTGACACTCGCATTTCCAGGCAAAGATAGCTTCCAAATTACAAGTACCAATAGGATAGGTAAGATCGTTCTATAACTAGCATCGAATAGAAAATTTTGATAAAGAAAAGGATATTGTATTCTCATGCCCACAGAGCCAGAACTAGGAATAACAGCACCCTGCAAATTATGATGCACATTGGTGGCAGTGTTCACGTCCTAAATAGGTGAAGTAATAACCAAATTAGTAGACATGAAAGGAAACGTAGTTTGATAATCCTTAACCTGAACATGACTTGTGAAGATTAAAGGATCAACAGTCCACTATAACCTACTTACTTCAAACTCAATGAAGCAGACCGTGTGCCTTTCCTGCCTCAGAATCTTCATTTGCTTAAATCCAGATTGTCTGCATTAAATGTCATGAACCAGTGATCCAAAAGATTCAGTTGGTTTAAGGTTATTTATGGACATGATAAAATGATTTAAAAAATTGTGAAAAGATGAGACTTGCATACACGCTTAAAAGACCTCTGAGTTCCTCTTCATTTACATTTTCCCCCAGATTACCAATAAACAGGGTATTGCAAGGAGGATTATCTTTAGTGTTCTGTATGAAACATGAGAAAAATGAGATACAGAAATCTTTCAATACTTGCACAAAAACCCATGAAATGTAAGCTTTTGATTTTCCAGCAGACAACGCACTTCATGACGCCTTCATCTCGTGAAAACTTTAATAGTTAGTTGTAATAAAGTTCCAAGTTCAGGGATAGTAATTGCGAGAAGGTGATGCAAAGTTCAAAGTCGGACAGAAACAGAGCACGGACATGTAACATTGTGGACCACAGTCAAATGCTAACGAAAAAGTAAGAAAGCATGGTAAAAGGACATACCACTGACAAAGTGAAACTCCAACAAGAATTATAGTCATTTTCCATAGAGATTGTAAACGGATTACCTGAACAGGCACGTAGCTGCTAGGTGCTGGAACAGGTGCAGGAGCAGGTATAGGTACAGGAGGAACCGGGTAACCTCCATACGGATCATATGGAGGAGGAGGTGGAGCCATATACCTAGATCATCACAGAACCATAAGGAACTTGAACAACACAACTCAATGCCATTTCATAAAACATCTCTCAGGTGATTAGACATATAACTGACTTCAAAGCGAAAGCACCTTCAAGTTTCCATAAAGAGAAGACTCACCCATGAGGCCCCCAAATAGGGGGTGGAGGTGCATGAAAAGGCGACGGGCTTGAATATCTGGTGTGGGCATAGTCACCACCAGTTCTCAAACGTTTACTTTGGTCATAAGCATTTGCATCAGCAACAATGCCTACAAGTAGTACATGTTAGACGAACACGACTCTCCACAATGGTATGATATTGTCCACTTTGAGCATAAGCTCTCATGGCTTTGTTTTGGGTTTCCCCAAAAGGTCTCACCCCAATGGAGTTAGTATTCCTCACTTATAAACCCATGATCATTCCCTAAATTAGCCGATGTGGGACTTCCATCATCCAACACCTCCCCTCGAACAAAGTGCGCCTCCCCTTAATCGAGGCTCGACTCCTTTGGAGTCTTAGTCATTTTTTACTGCCTTCGAGGAGCTCCTTTTCTTTAGGAGTTCTTTGTTCGATATTTGAGGATTTGAGGATTTGAGGATTTACCAATCTATTGGCACGACTAAGTTTAGGGCATGGCTCTGATACCATGTTAGACGAACACGACTCTCCACAATGGTATGATATTGTCCACTTTGAGCATAAGCTCTCATGGCTTTGCTTTGGGTTTCCCCAAAAGGCCTCACCCCAATGGAGTTAGTGTTCCTCACTTATAAACCCATGATCATTCCCTAAATTAGCCGATGTGGGACTTCCATCATCCAACAGTACAAAGATTAGCAAATTGAGCAATCCTTTGCTTCTTTCTTTTTTGAAAAGAAAAATGAGTAACAAAGAGCGTTTAAACCGTGAAATCATTACACGACAAAAGAACAAGCGGAAGGTCGCCTAAGCCTTAGATAATAAGCAGAAGATTATGCTGGGAGAATGTTTATTGATCTCCCATTGTTGATAGAAAAGGAGACGAAACTATTGCATAGCTATATACAGTGCCTAAGGCAACTTGAATGGCAGAAAGTCAAGATCAAAAGGAAAGTAAGTGTGATAAACCAAATTCTAAACAGTCGTCATGCGTTATGACCCTCCAATCAGAGCTCAAAATAAAACTAACGAGACCCAACAAGAATCATAAAGTCACTAAATCACCTCGTTTAACAAAGAGATTTTTCTTGGCCATCTCCGTGTGCAACACTGACTTAGACTCCGCATCAAAAACCATATCCTAAACCACAAAGAACAAAGCAACCGACTCTAGAAGATTGAGAATTCAAAAGCTCAATAAGTAAAGCAGTGAGGTAAAGACATGAACCTGAAGGGCATCTTTAGCGGCAATAGCAAGCTGGCCATTGGAGAATAGAGCAAAACCCATAGGCTTTTCGCCTTTAAAATTTACTTGCGAGGCCTCGTAACCAGGTAACCATCTGAGAAGATTCTGTAGCTCTCTCTCTTTTACATCTTCAGGAAGACCTGTTATAAATATAGTTCGAACCTAACGCCACACAACATCAAAAACTGCCTCACAGAGAGAATCGAAATAGCAGAAACCATCAAATAATTCCATAAGACGACTGATTGAGCAGAATAATCACCCAAACTCACCACAAAACACGAGACAAAACAAATTAATCTCCAACTAGGTAAAAGAGGGACAGTACCTCATCGGAGGCATGACGACTGGGGTTGTCGACGAGGATCTGAGGAGGATGAGGGTGAGGAATAGGAGGGGGAGCGGCGGTGGCTGCTTGTGGTGGAGGCAGAGGAGGAGCAGCGGCCGCCGCAGGCCATTGCTGGTGATACGGGTGGATTCCAGTACCGGCCATGCGTAAACAAGTGGAACGAAACAGCAGAAAGCAACTGTGGAGTACGGAGGCAACCAAATTTCTCCGTTCAACTTCTTCGTATTAACAAATTTCTTGAATTTGCTGGCCCTCTGTGCTCTGCTCCGATACGGATTTGGAAGTTTCCGGGGAAAACCTAAGAAGATGTAAAGAAAAAGGTGGCTTGTCCACAATCTGCGCGCCAAGCGTGATGATATGTCCTTCGCCATTGGGCCAACTGCCGGCCCACAGCCAATTTTCCAATCTTCCCCTTTTTATATTAAATAATTATACCTCATTATTTTTAAAAGTTTTAGTTTAAATCTTTCAAATTCAAATTTTGTTTCCAAATAAATTCTAAACTATTTATTGCATTCATACAAAAAATAAAAATAAAAATAAAAAAATTTATTTATTTATATATAAAAATCTAAATATATATCAAAAATAAAATTTGAGATCGGTTAAAATGTAATGTCCCATCTTGGTTGGGAGGAAAACAAAACACAATTTATAAGGGTGCAGAAACCTTATCCTAATAGATGCGTTTTAAAGGTTTGAGGGAAAACCCGGAAGGAAAAGCCTAAAGAGAACGATATCTGCTAGCAGTGGATCTAGGTCGTTACAAATGATATTAGAGTCAGACACTAGACGATGTGTCAGCTTTCTCACTGTTCCCTGAAGGGGGTAGACACGAGGCGGTGTGCCAGTAAGGACGTTGGGCTCCGAAGAGAGGTGGATTGTGATGTCCCACATTAGTTGAGCAGGAGAACAAAACACAATTTATAAAGTCTTGAGGGGAACCTCGAAAGGGAAAGCGAGGAGAAGCCCGAAAAGGAAATCCAAGAACCTCGTAGGTAATTTAGGGTTTAGAGTTTAAATTTAAAATTTTTATTTTTTTTATATACTCTTTTGTTGAATATTTTAATTTTTTTTATACTTTTTTGTTGAATATTAAAAAATATATTATAAAATTGAATTCTAGAAAACCGTGGTTGACTTTTTGAAATATTAATTATTTTTAAAAAAGATTAAACTAACTACTGTCTTAAAATAATATATAGCTGTTATCCATTTAATTATAATATTTATTTTTAATATTTGGTCGGTTTTAAATACATATTATTAAAAATTATTGGAAAAAAAATACTCTTTTAATCACTAAGCTTTTGGCCTAAACATAAATTTTTTATTTTTTATTTCTAAATATTGAGTTTAATTCTTATTTGGTACTTAAAATGTTACATTTTTTATCTAATTATTTATGTTTTAATATTTATAATTTTACCTCTCAACTTTCACCATCACTCAAATTTTCCGTTTAAAAGTGCAATTTTTGAAACTCTTAAAAACAAAATTCAAAATTCAAAAATTAAAAATATAATATTATATAATATTTTAAAATTTACCAATAAACTTGATTAAAATTAGACTTAGACGTGGATTAAAAATGTAATATTTTAAAATTTAAGGACTATGTAAATTTAAAAAATAAGAGATTAGAAAGAAAATTTATTATTCTATAAAAAGCATGCATGCAAAAAAGGAAAAAATAGAAGCAGAGAAAGAAAAGGAGAATTATGTATAAAAGAAATGTACGAAAATATATTCCAATACAAGGAAGAAAACGAGCACTACTGTACGCGATGTGTCGTAGTAGAGGAGCGTTCCTTGATAATTTGGAGGCCGACATGTCGTCCAAGCATCATGAGCGTGGCCTGAGGGTTAGTACCAGGCGACACCCCAAAAGTGGAGCCATCCACCACTCTCAGCGCCTCCATTCCGATGACCCGATGGTTCCGGTCCACCACTTTCCCCGCCACGCACCCACCATGGTAGTGCCATATCGTGCTCACCGTCCTCTTACAAAACTCCCTCAAAAACCCATCATCCTTCTCCTCTTTCTCTGGATAAACCGGCCCAACGAACCGGAACTCCCTCTTCCACAACCACCCGCTGAACTTAAACCCCTCCATCGACCGGCTCCTCAAAACCTCTCCTATCTTCCTCGTCCCGTTCACGCACCGCTCTAGATCCACCGCGTTGCCGAAGTAGTTGAACCAAACCACCGGGTTCACTCTCACGTCGGTTGAAGCCAACCGCATCGAACCGAACGATACCGGCCCAATTATCTTCTCCATCAACGTCGCCACCGTCAGATAAACCGGCGCCGATTGAGCTCTTATGAAAAATGACTTCGGCGGTGAAGTAAACGGAATCACGTTGGATGTCGCTTCCAAATACGCGCCGGATTCCGTTATTCCGGCTACCTGAATCAAAGATTGCTCCAACGGCATCGGCGATAAAATGGAAATCCCGTTACGGGGATTGTCGTAGAGGTAGTGCCCTACGTAGGGTAAATGATGAGTCACAGGAATCCCCCACGACGACAGATACGGACGCGAACCAATTCCACTCAGTAACAGTAAATGCGGACTTCCTATAGCGCCTGCAGCTACTAAAACCTCGCCACGCGCGCGTAGCAGCGCGTGGTGATACGCGCCTCGTTGGTCATGATAAAGAACCCCTGTTGCCGCTGCTTTGGACGCCACGAGAATTCTCTCCACCGTCGCGTGCACTGCGACTTTGATATTACACGGCTTGGCATAAGCAAGAAGATCCGCCGCGCTATGGCGGCGGCCTAATTCGTCGAACGTGGAGCCTCCGATTTTGGTCCCAATCAAATGATCGAAACTGAAGCCGTGGTAAGGTTTGATTCCTGCTTCAACCATTCCGTCTCGAACTGCCGATTGCCAATTCTTGAGATTAGGTCTGAACACGATCTCTTTCTCTACCCACTCGTAGGACTGGTTGACCATGGCTAGGTCCCAATGGAGGCGCGAGTTTTGGAAAAACGCTGGATCGGCTCTGCTGTAGAAGCCGGCGTTGATGGCGCTGCTTCCGCCGAGGATCCGCCCTCGGGCATTAGGAATGCCCTCTTCTGAGGTGAAGGCTTGCACGGGGGAGTCACGTGAATGGACGTCGTCCATTAGAGTCGTCAAGAATCCTTCCTGTGACATCAAATTCGAGTTTGCGTGAGGGACGCCGCCGCGCTCCAGGACAAGAACTCGGAATTTGCTTGATAATGTCGCAGCCAGCGGGCAACCGGCTGTTCCGCCGCCTACGATTATGTAATCGTAGTAATCTTCCTTCGGAAAATCCGCCGCGTCCGACACGAATTTCAGGTAACTAGGCTCTGTAGTTATTAAGATCATTATAATTCTGAGATTAATTAGATTCAAGAAATCGAGTTAATCATAATTACCTCGCTGAGAGGAGCTTAGATCGGCAGAGATGGAGGCCGGTGAGGCGTAAAAGAGGAGCAAGAAGGCTAGGATCTGAGAGTAGGAGAAAATGCGAGGCGGCATTGTGGAGAAGACGAAGGTCTGTGTGAGTTTCTTGGAAGGAAAGAGACGCATTTCTTGAATCAAGTAAGGTTGTTGGTTGAAGATTCAAATGAAAATAGTTTCATATTGTCAACAGATTTTATGACCTTGTTTTCGATATATCAACTTAGAACCGGCTTTTGATTTAATAACAATCCCCTAATATGCTATTTGGTATTTATTTATTTACTAGGGGAAACTAGTGATAACTTCCACGTATCGAAACAATGATCGAGTCGACATTGTTGAGCACGTTACATTGTGATAGCACGACATAATGGAGGGAACTCGGCTTATGTACTAGTCAAATTTATTGAGTAGTCGAGAAATTGAATAATGAACCGTTTAATTTTAAAAGTTTTTCATTTTATTTCTTTTAATTTGGCTGAATCTTATAATAAGGAACCTTGTGTCAACCTGTCACCGAGAATGTCCTATGTTTCAAAAACCAATGCTACCAAGCACCTACTATTGAAGTTAGCCTTCATGATTCATATGTTGTTGTTGCTGACATGTAAACCATTGAAGATGGTCCTCGGGACGAAGAGTAGATAACAATCTCCTTGAATTCTGAATCTCCCATTGTAGCTACTATGTCAAATGAACCGATATTTGATGTTTGGAAGAAATTGTCTTTTATTGTTAAAGCACGAATATAAAAATCAACAAAAAAAAAACGTACACAATAATTTAAGTGAAAAAACTTTAAAATTAGAGAAAATATATACTCTGCCAAAAAATTATCATGCAAAAATTTATTACAACTATTCGTAATTCATCTTTGACGGCTCTGAAAACATGTCGATCTTAGAGTATTCCTTTATGTTTTTAAGGTAAATTTGAGCTTGGTTCGACCCGCATTCATTTAGTAGAGAGGAAAATGAGTTTGTGCGAGACTATCAACTTATGGTACATATGGCATATTGATATTGATATAGCACGTTTGTGCAAACAATATCTCCAATCTAAACGGTCTCTTAAAATAAGGGTATAAGGGTGCTACGAAAATGTAACCTATCTTACATTGATAGACTTTATATATTTGTTTATCAAATTAATTACCATTTTTCTATGATTATTCTTTAACAATAGGGCAAAATTACCATATACTTTTTCATATCATAAGTTTCTAAGTTTTTAAAACGTTAAAGGTGGAAGTTCCAACCCTAAATTTTAATTTCTAAAATTAAATTAATAACTTATTAAATTAATAAAAATATTTTTAAACTTCAAATTTGGTTTAAAAAAAAAATACTTTCAAAACTTTTAAAAATTTCAATACTAATTAAAATTTAAAAAATATCTTGAAATGAAAATTATTTATACTTTCTCATAAAAATATTCTTCAACCGAAAATATTCTTTTTAAAACCCTACAAAATTTAAAACACTTTAAACTTTTATAAAAATTTAAAAAATACTTTAATGAAACTTTAGAATCCCATTCTAACTAAGGATTCTTGTGGTTTCGGAGAAACCAGCTACAACTATAGGAGAACCAAGAATGGAGAGCTCTCTCCCTTTTTCCGAGCCTCTCTGGTCTTAAGAATACTGGTTTTAAGAATGAGTGATTGCCTTTCTCCGGCCCTTACTGCCCAACCGGATAGCAGACAGCTAATGCGTTACACTTATTGAACAGGGTTTTATGCGACCCCTGATTTATGATTTAGTAACATAAATACTTTGAACTTTTAGAAAAAATATAAAAAGTTCGAAAATGATTTAGAAAGGGTACCTAGATAATTTTCATCCCTCCATTTTATAGGGAACATTCAACCCGACAACCCAGACCAACCCAACCCGAACTATAAGGGTT